TGTGGCAGTGCAGTTCAGAGTTAAGATAGAATGCCTTCCTTAATCCTCTACCGCCTGGCATAACATAACATAACATATTGATCTCGGCGCTGAAGTGTAGGCCTGATGTGGCCTGTCGCCGATTCTTTTCCTTTTCGTGCCTTGTTCACAGAAGATCTAATATCGTTTCATTTGACCGGATATTTTCATGACTGACGATAGTTTCAAGTAGCTACCAGACTTCCATTGGGTTCGATATGGTGCTGGCTAGGTATTTCAAATCTGAACATATATTTTTCCATAGCTTTATCTAGTCTGTTCTTGAACGCGTTCATACTTGCAACGATGTCATTGGGGAGGCTGTTCCACATGTCGGTGATTCGAAGCGAGAAGAAATTTTGTCGCGTGGAGAAGTTGCAGCGCAGTTTTTTTAGTTTATAGCCGTGGCCCCTGGTGTTGGTTCTTGTTTCATATTCTAGTAATCCTTTGGGGACCTTGTATAAACCATGAGTATACTTGTATATTTCAATGAGGTCCCCACGCAGACGTCGATAACTGAGGCTTGGAAGCTTCATAATCTTCAATCTTTCTACATAGGACTTGCCCCTCAAGCCTGGAATTATCCTTGTTGCACGTCTTTGAACATTCTCTAGTAAATTTCTGTCCTTTTCAAATCTCGGTGACCACACAACGTTTCCAAACTCTAGATTCGGGTGCACGACAGCAACAAACAACTGCTTCATCGCTTCTGCATCTAGGAACTCGTATGAGCGTCTGATTAGTCCAAGAAGTTTGTTGGATGTGTTAGCTTGCGTTTCAACATGCTAAGAAAATTTCAGCTCCTTGTCGACATAAACTCCGAGATCTTTTTCCACACTAGACTTTTCAATCATTACTCTCTCGTTGCAACCATGTCTTCTCATACTGTAATCTTGCTGTTCATTGTTCTTCCTGAGGTGAAGTACTGTACACTTGTCAGCATTAAACCGCAGCTGCCACGTATCAGCCCAGTTAACTAAACTGTCATGATCATCTTGTAATTGCGCTTTATTCGAAGCATCTTTCACTGTATTATAAACTTTTGTGTCGTCGGCGTAAACTTTTGTGTCGTCGGCAGTCTCCAGCACACGCTGGAGACTGCTTCTGGCAAATCGTTTATAAAAGCAACGAACAAAATAGGCCCAAGAACGCTTCCTTGTGGCACGCCACTGTGCACTGATACCCAGTCTGACACGGTTCCGTTAATACTGACACTTTGTCATCTACCTACTAGAAAATCTCTAATTTGCACGTCACTAGTACGTTTCCCTCAATTCCGAAAAACTTCACTTACGCGACAGCCGCTTATGCGGAACACTGTCAAATGCTTTGGCAAAATCGAGTTACAAAGCATCCACTGGCTCCCTTTCGTCCAGCAGGCGAGTCCAATCGTTCAACTTAGATAATAAGTTAGTGGTGCAGGATCTACCGACGATAAAACCATGCTGACAATCTGATATGAGATGGTGAGCAGTCAGGTGATCGATAATCCTATCCCTCACAACAGATTCCATTAGCTTACAAACAACACTTGTCTGACTGACAGGGTGATAGTTGCCGGGGCTGCTTTTGTCACCTTTTTGAACAATGGTGTTACTTGAGATTCTTTCCAGTCGGACGGCAAAGTTCCTTCGTTCAAGGTTTTTTGAAAGAATGCTGCCAATGGGCCGGCCAGAACGGTTGCTAATTCTTTGGGCAATCTGGGATGGAAGCAGTCTGGTCCACATGACTTGTTGGGATTTAGAGCTACCAGGCGCTTTAGAACCTCTTCTTCGTGAATTTCAAAACATGTTAACTTCGAGCCGACTGGGCGCTCCTCAATATCTGGAATACTGTTCAAGTCCTCATCTGTGAACACACTGCTGAAGAACTGATTTAGAACGTTAGCCTTGCCCTCATCAGAGGAAATCTTTCGTTGGTCTACTTACAAATCAGATATACCGTCTTTGACTTACACTTCGAACTAGCGTACACAAAGAAGGCTTTCGGATTCTTTTTTTGAATTTTTAGCAATATTTTTTTCGAAGTTTTTCACTACAGTGCGACAAACTTTTTAAGCTTGATTTCGAGCTCTGGCATACAGGTTATAATCAGACTCGCTGCGGGTTCGTAAATAACGCTTGTATGCTTCTTTCTTGCTCTGTAGCTGAGTCTTAACTGCACTGTTCATCCACTAGGACTTTTTGACTCCTCCATGCGTAATCTTGGGTACACAGGCATCAACTGCAGACATAACCGTGTCTTTGAGAAACGACCACGAATCGGCTACACTCATGTCCTTGATACAGTCCGAAATATTCGCCGCATTCACCGTTTCACGAAGTTTATCATAGTCGCTCTTAGCAAAGTTCAAACGTTCACGCTTCCGAAGCGTCTTTTCTGCACAACACTTAATATTGAAAAACAATAATTGCATGGTGGTGGCTTTTACCCAACGGAGCCTCGTGGCGAAGCTAATCTATCATTGATTCTTCACTAGTAAACACATGATCGAGAATATTTGGGGTCTGTTTACCCCTAAAATGGGTTGGCTTGGTGATGTTCTGGATTAAAAATGAGTATCGCACAGACTCCAAGAACAAGGATGCTGGGTGATTCTCATCTCTTGTAGAAGATACATCTGCCCAGTCTATTTCTGGATGGTTAAAGTCACCAACGATCAACGTATGCGACCTGCTGAATGACATGCGCGGTAAAAGGCTGTTTAGTACTTTATTGTTATCAGAGGAGCTGTTAGGTGATCTGTAAATGACCCCTATGAGGAGGCTATCTTTGCCTTTTAGAGTAAGTTCGTACAACACTGATTCTCTAGCTGATTGATGCTCTGCAGATAACTTAACTTGCTGGGCCCCATAAGAGGTTCTAACCCACAGAGCTACACCTCTGCAGCACTGCTCTTCATTTAAGCTATGAAAACAATCAAAACCTGGCAGCTGAAATTCACCAGGTACAATTTTCACCCCGTGATTTTCACCCCGTGATTGTTTCTGTAATACAAATAATGTCTATACACTCGTTTGTGATCACAGTTAACAGTTCACTTTTTAGTTCAAAACGGAATCCGAGTTCGTGTAAAAAAATTTTAAAGCTTTTTGTGCTCTTTCACTTTGATGTATGCGGTTACTTCCTACATTATTTACAGGCCTTGATCTACGCACATCATTCTTACTAATTACTTGTCCTCCATCTCCTCTGACTGTCCGTGAGCAGCCGGTGTTGTCTTGGCAGCTTGGAAGTGATTGACCTGATTTTCCGTGCCTTTCCGCCTGATTCTCTCCTGCCACTTCTTGCGAAAAACCGCCCTTTCTAAGGGGGTGGAATACTTTACTTCCATTTCTTCCGTATTTTACAACTGAGCCTTCACTTCAGTCAGCTCATTGCATAGCGAGCTCAGTTTGTCACTCAGCAAGCGCACCATCTCACTCAAGGAGTTTAGTACATCATTCAACAATTTCGACTCATTGTCGTGCTCTTCCATCGACTCCTCTTTTTCGAGCACCAAGAGTTGGTTTTTCGCAATCACGGCAAAACCAGTGAAGCAATTTAGATTTCTGGAGAAATGAGTACTCCTTAGAGTTCAACTTCGAACAGCTGATACAAATGAGATCTTCGCATCGTTCACAGGTGACCGTCTGGACTTCACTCAGAGAGATCTCTTTGCAGTACTTGCAAACTTTCATCTCTAGCTGGGCTGATTTGGTTTTATTTTTTATTCTAGTGGCCGTAGAGGGCTTTTCTCTAGAGCCCGTAGAAGGCTTTTCGACTATATTTTTTATTTTCTGTCCAGCCATTATTAAATGCACGAACTAGAGCTCTTGAACGAAGAAAAGGACGGAGAGAAATACAGAAAAGGACGGAGAAACATACAAAACTGAGTTGAGTTGAGTATAGTAACGTTCCCTAAAAAATTTCGGCTGGAGGAACAGCTGAGCTGCAGCTGGCGAGGGAAAGACAAGGGGTGTCTGGGGGGAAGCAATATTGTCCGGAGCTATATTGTCGTGCAAGCCTACCCAAAAAGGATACGTTCTAGTGCACTGACTAGACCATTACACAGGAAATGTCTTGCACTGATGGTTGCCGCCACTTACGACAACTTTAAAATGTTCTCTGTTGCGTACAAACGTGAAACGTCCTGAGGTTGCTACACTCAATTGTCAAATTTATCTTTGACTGGCCCGATGATTTATTTATAAGTTCTATTTAATTATATCAATGTTCTATCGTTGGTTAATCACCGGAACATCTTCTGGGGATTGCTTGAGTTGAGGGTCCAAGGGTTCTTAGCTAGGTTAGGTCCGAATAGAGGCAGGATGACTGAGAGGCGGTTATCTTAGAGTATATTAAGAACTAGATAGGTCACAAGATGAAGCTGGGTGGTAAGTTACACAAGGTAGTTTAGTATATTGGTTACTATCGACGATCAGGAGAACGCCGGAGTCAGGCGACGTCCAGTGGACGCTATATTGGTTATGACTACATGATGGCTAGGCTTGCCTACGACTGACCGAAGGTCTGCTCGAAGAGCTTATGTACGCGGAGACCCGCGAATAGTGACATCACAGAAGGTGACGAAAGAGAGACTAATGACATCATTGGAATACAACCTGACACAATAGCTAACGTTTATTTGTGATATAATGAAATAAGTTGAAAGTTCTGTTTCCGGAGAGTGACATGCGGCGGTAGAGGGTTAAAGCTTTGTGTTTAAATTGAAACGCAAAATATATCAGCATTGACACGCTACGAAAACTATTTCCGTGTGTGGAAAATAGACACACGGAAACTATTTCTGTGTGGCGTTTCTGAGCAAATGATGGGAATGAAAATGACTGAAAGTAAGGAAGAGTTCCTTTAATAACTTTTGCCTGAATCAACTAATCTTGTTTTACAAGACTCATGAAAACGATCTCAATTGTATTGGTGAGAAATTATGGTACTTGCTTAGCATTATCTTATTTCCTTATTGTTTGATTGTGTAAAAGTGCATTATTTTTATAAAACATTAACCTTCGTATTACAGTAATAACGCCATCCTCCTCGAGTATTTGTTGTCGTCATCCTTGCCGAGCAAAAAACAGCGATGCCGGCAGTGACAGCGACTCATGTAAGGTTTGCCACCGTCTCCCGCTCCCGCCCTGGGATCGGGCGGACGATGTTTCGATGCTGCCTCATGGCCTGCCTCGGCGTGTACAACTCATGTGCTACCAAGTGGAGCCTCATAGACATCAACATGACGCAGTTCTTGATAAATAACCACTCAGCTGTGATGATGGCACAGTCAGCTCTCGTCTGCGTCCTGCAGGCGGAACAAGTCCTGCGCAACGCCAGCCGCGGTCTCGCCTGCTACTCCGACGGCCGCTGTGTCGTCGCAGACGGACCCTACGACCACCTCCGAGGACCGACCTCGAACAGCTCGACTTGCTTCTCGTTCGGTGCGCTAACTGAATATAGCATTTATAGAAATATCTTTGATCTATTGATGCCGAATATCGTTTTTATCAGGATTTTTCTGTCTAGTTGATGAGGAAACTTTCAAATTTTGCCCTTGTTAATGTTTCCAAACATGAATAAGTACCATTAATATAACCAAATGTGTTAATTTCCTCCCCACAACCCTGGTCACAGGCCTCGGGAGCTGGTGCGTCAGTCCTCCTGGTGGCCTCAACGACACGCTCACCGCGGCGGTGCCCTGCAACGTGTCGCTGAGCTGCACGCCTCAGGGCTGGGCTGACGGTGAGTAGCGGTTACGTATAATAATGGTACTTGGTGGCGGTCAGGCCTTAATATTTGCTTGGGTTTCGATTAATAAAATATCACTTCAATCATCTGTGTCAAAATCGCTATTTATTATCGAGAGCGTTGAAAAAATTATTCAAATTCAAGATGTGCCTATAAATGAGGCAATTTCTGGTTATTCATAGCTAATGCATTCCTAACGTCTCTACTGTATATTCAATAACTAAAACCAATCCATTACTGTTCATGAAAAATTTTATTGAATTAATTTCGGTCTCGACTCTCCAATTCATACAGTTTCTAAACACGTTTACGCAAAATTCACCATGTATTGAACTTTACCTCCCTTCCCTCACATACCCTCCGCCAGGCAACTCTCCCGACAAAAGTGCGTCCCAACCTCAAGGAATGCAGTGCACCAGTGATGGTTGCTTCCTAGCAAGCACCTCCGCGATGACGTGGTGCGCCGCGCACCAATATTGCCTTGACGTTGGCGGGAAACTCTACTCGCCCACCGACCCCCAGAAATACACGAACTTCACTGGCATCGTCTCTGGTCAGTGACCTGATAACAAATCAACGTGCAGGGTGGCCCAGTGGTTACAGTTCAGAGTACCAAGATTGGCGCAGAGGCGCGGGTTCGATCCCAGCTCTGTGCGCAAGTTTCTGGTCAGAATCGGTGAGGAGGCCGGGCGGTTAAGCACAGCAGAATTGTAGCAGTGAGTTGCGAGTCCTAGATCGCAACAAGCTGTGGATGTTCTGCGATGTTAAAAATCGGCGACAGGCCTACGGCCTACTAAACGCTGAAACCGCTATTTTCTAAACCGCTATATATATTGCAGAGCCCAAAGTGGTCTTGAACTTCGCAAAAAAGCTCACTAAGTTATCCATGAATTATGGGTTATTTTAAAAGTTACCTAAAAAGTTAGTTACCGATGCAGCATCGGGAACCACTGCCCTTTGAAGAGTAGTAAGTGCAATTCTAAAATAGAAAATGGTGGTTTTTGACGTCTGAAGACAAAAAATATTAGAGTCCATTTCGTTCCGTCGAAGCAGTAGTTAGCTTTGACATAGCGTTCTACTGAATCAATGGCTGCCCTCGTATTTAGAATATCCTCCGAAATAATAACAATAAAATACTGATACAACTGTTCATGAGACCGGTATAGACGGACAATTTGAGAATAATTGCAACATAATATTAGAAGAAATGATTATGAAGGTTATTCTGTTCGGATCACATGCGGCACAGGTTTAGACAATATGAAAGCGCTAGCCACGCTAATGGCAATCTTTCCACTTTGTTTACAAAACGTTCCCGTTATATCGAGGACAGTGATACAGTTGGAAAATAACAGTTAAGACAGATTCAGCCTTAAATTCTTTCCTTTAATAAATAAATAAATTCTTTCCTTTCTTTCCTTTCCTTTTTAATCCAACTTAGTATAAAATGAAGATTATTTAACTTTGATATGACTCACATGTTACATGAACTGATATCCAACAACGTCCAGGAAATCAACGGCGAACCTCGAGTAAAGTTGTTGAGAGCATTCCTAAGTTGCTGGGAAAGAATTAATTACTTATACAGGGTCCTTACAAAAAAGTCCCTGGTTTCAAAAGGCTTTTGCAAAAATCATACGACAAATCCAAAACAATTAATTTTCTTGGTGAATAGCTTATTTGATGCCATTTTATATCATTTAGCACACTTTACTTGGTTTTGAAAATTATGTTCGATAAATGATGTCCCCATTGTTAAGACATTCACGAAGTCTTTTCCTGAAGTTGCCCATAGTTCTTCGTGTAACTTCCCTTGTAATGGCTGCCACTTCCTGCCTAATGGCATGTTTTAGTTCCTGCAGATTTCGGGGACGATATTTGTACACTTCAGCCTTTAGGTAGACCCACAGAAAGAAGTCGCAAGGTGATAAGGTCGGGTGCCCGTGGCAGCCATTCCAAGGGAAGTTACACGATGAACCATGGGCAACTTCGGGGAAAGACTTCGTGAATGTCTTAACAATGGGGGACATCATTTATCGAACATAATTTTCAAAACCAAGTAAAGTGTACTATATGATGTAAAATGGCATCAAATAAGCTATTTACAAATAAAATTAATTGTTTTGTATGTGTCGTATGATTTTTGCAAAAGCCTACTGAAATCAGGGACTTTTTTTGGAAGGACCCTGTATATCCACAAGCCTGTCAAAAAAGAGACGTTTTTGGTGCAATTCCGCGACGGCATATCAATTGTGCGACGAAAATAGCGTGGCACCAGATCGCATCTAATTAGTTTAAAAACAGTAGTGGGAAATCGAAAAAAGGAACGTATATAATTCTGCGACACGCTTTTTGAGCCAAACTCATTATAGGTTTGGGATAGGGCTATAGGTGTCTATAAAAAAACTTTTTTTACATCCTTAACCTTAATCTTACTGAGGTGACGTCACATAGCAACGTTATTTTTATTTAACACGTTGAGTGCGGCATGACCCAGCAGCTCTGGCAGATGGCCTATAAACGGCCAAGTCAGCGGATAAAAAGGACTATAATTCAAAATATACCAGTAAATGTGTAGGTTCCGGGAAAATAATTCAAATTTCGTTTTTTTTTCGCACATTTTAAAATTTAATGCGGTAGTACTGCTATCATAAATTTTGTCCACAACAAAATGAAAAAAAAGTAAATTGCGGAATTTGTCCAGAAAAAAGACATTGCAACCCACCGGTGAGTCGTGCCACACTTAACGTGTTAATAGCTGTTTTAAAAAGTCAACTAATCACAGTCTATTGCAACTATTGCAAAATATTAAGAGTAAATATATATATTGATATTTAATATGGCAAATATTTATATTATACGTATACACATTCACGAATACCCCACTTAAAAAACATACAAACCTCTTTAATCTGAAGTTCCATATATGTGTAACTAATGAAACCGTTCTTTACCCTCTCCATAGGTTATTTTTGGGTGGGTGCTGTTCGAATGCCGGACAACTCGTGGATGTGGCTCAGCAACGGACGCGGTTTGGTCGTGGCTGCAGACTGGTACCCAGGACAACCGAATAATCCGCGACCTAATTGTGGCACTATGACTACGTTCGGCTGGGTCTGGGGACTCAGTGACGAGGCTTGCGGATCGACGAAACAAGCTCTGTGTTCTATGAGTGAAAACTAAACTGTTGGTTTCATTTCACGAAGTACTTACGTAGTATTATTGGCTTCTCAAGAATGGTCTTTCCTATTTCGTTGCCTGCACTTCACTGTCATAACGAACTATATATGAAGGCAAAGAAAATTATAGGAAACTTCACTTGGGGTTTTCATTGCATTTGCATTTTTTGGTCAACTTGTGACTTAAGCTAACTAAAGGTATAAAGACTCATAAAGTTCTGTGTCAGTAAGACAAGTTGGTGTTTCGTTCAATTGATGTAAAAATTGCATGTAAGGAGAAGTAGACAGGAATGAATTATAGACAGTTCAGCGTGGCAATGCAGCTAACAGGTTACCATGGCAAGTCATGGTAGCTAAATCACAAATCGATCTTGACTTCATTGCGGAATACTGCACTCGCACTGGCTTCGAAGATTAAGTTAGATTTGCTGGACCACCTTCTAAGATCCGCTTGTGTAAATGAGAAAATTATATTTCTTTGTCTTCGGTGGGTCAAATATGAAGTTTTTTCTATTTTCAACCGTATTTGCACTCGTGTTTGCTGCCCTCAAATGTTGCAATCACTGCGATCTTGTTCGTTCATTGCCAGCGTTGCGCTGCTCTCAACATCCGACCTAATTAGAGAATAAAATTGGGACCAAAATTCATCGCTCGAACTCCATTTGAATCCAATAAAATGTGTGACGAAGAGTAATGTTCTCACAGAACCTCTCGCTTTCATGCACTTGCGTGGGCGAGGAACATTTTTGGTTAATGTTCAATTGCTGCAGCTGCCACGACGGGACGAGAAGCATTCAGCACATTGACTGGCGCGAGATATTACCACTTCTCGGAAGTATGGAAGCGACTGACTTGAGGCGCCCATGGTAGTGGTTGAATCTTGTTACCGCATGATGTAAGCCCAAATGTGTGTCGATCATACACAATACTAACACTTTTATAACAAAATACTAACTCTATTACACACAATATTGACATTGAGTTATTTCACGTGTGCTGTAGCAAATAATGAGCCTATGACACGACAGATAAATTTATGCATCTATAAATTATGCGACTTCTATGCTCAAATAATGATCAAACTTGTGCGTGACTAATGTGTCTATACTTCATCTTCATCGCAGTTAATGCCGTGAGGAACAGTTCCCTTAAATCAATAATAATAATACTTCAATACACTCGAGCTGCATAAGTGAAATGAATGTTATATGATTCCAATCTATAGTATGCTCGAAGCATCACGGGCGAAACATTTGTGCTCTGTATGAGAAACAATTATTGGCAGCAATTAAAATGACGTACGAGCACTCTTAATGAAGTGTAAGCGGACTGGCGTTGGTATTGAACCTAATGGGTTGGCCCGGTTGGATCCATGGATCGATCAACTGAGCTATGTGGCTCAGCCGACTGGGCAACCACTTGGCTGCATTTTGTGAAGAATTTAACGACCATAAGGGGGCATGAATACCATAAGGTGCATACTAAACCCATTCATTTCTGGTATATACCAGACCGGAACCATACCAGAAAACATACCAGATCGTGGGCCCAGTCGGTAAAACCACGTAAAACGACGATTTTAAAGCGAGAGTCTTCACAGGTTGTGTTCTGCCAAGTTTTTTTTTTATAAAAAAAAGAACTTTGCTGACTTAACCCAACCTTGAGGTTCATCGAAGTGATGCTTTTCTACTGTTTTTAAAACCACAAGGTGTAAAACCGGGCCCAAAAATTGACCACAATGATTCATTTGAACCTATTACGTTGTGAACCGGTTAAATAGGAAGTAACCCCTAATGCACATTTGCGAATTAACCAAAGTGTCGAGGTGTTCGGCACTGAAATAAAGCTTAAGAAAGATAAATTATCAATATTGATTATAGGTAAACTATAAATTCATTGTAGTTATCGATCATAATCATGTTTATTATCATCGTAGCTCAATTAGAAGCAGATTGATCCTAGCACGGAATCGCAGAGGTAATATAAGCGGGATAAATAGCTAGCGGAACGAAAGTCAAGATAATGAATTAGCGTCGAATATAATCAGCTTTCAAGTTTAATTATGGCTTATTACGATAGAATGTTATCGAACGTGATGTGGACGTGTTTTGGCTTGAAAAAAATATACTGGCATTTTATATTTCGTTGGTTATTAATGAAAAGAATCTTCCTAATATTTCTGTTTTGAGGCGGATATTGTGATTTTAATACAATAATTTTATTTTACCGGTAAAACGACTTCCAAATAAAATTAGAGATGAATGATATCATGCAAAGTTAAAATTGATTAAATTATTACGAACATTATATTGCTTTTATTCATTACTGACTGTTTAAATTTAATATGAAAGTCTGGTCACTCGAAAAAAAACCGCTGAAGAAATGTTTTGAAACTTATAAGACCTCGCACAATTTGAATGCTTCTACGTAGCACCAGCCGACTATACTGCAAACGTTATTTATACCTTAGTCTACGGATAACTTACCCGTCGTTGATGTTGTTTCTACCTAAAGGTTTCTAACGATTGTTGCTGTCAGCAGTCAAAGGGCTAAGTGAGATTTTACTAACGAATGCGATTACATTCTGCGGCCAAATTCCTACTTTTATTAGCCCCAAAAATTGGATGTTGCATGTTCTCCCACGACATTAACTATTGAATGCTTCGTGTTTTTCAGCAACATTAAAAACGAATATTTTCTTGTTAAGACAATATCCTAGAATACATCATAACGACTTAATCACTGGGGGTATAACTAGAACATTCAATTATAAACAGAAAATGCATTTGGAAAGTGTCAACCCGACAAACAATTTCAATCATTGAAATCGCTTGTCCTCACTGATCGTGATGCAAACAAATAAAATTAATGGTTCAATACGTTTGATTCATCATCGCGTTTTATCACACAGTTGGTGTTGCTAAAGTTAATAATTAGTTGTGGCATGAACAAGTTGTTGCCTATCAATACGTCTTGAGAAAAATAAATATAAACGAAAATTTCACCCTTTGACCGATCTATTCCTTGGAATGCTTCAAGTATTAACTACGATGTGTATGCATAGTCGAATTATTGTTCTGATATGGCACTTATAATTTCAAGCGAGGTGATGAGGAGCGTTTGAAAAGTCGCACTACATTAACAGCGCCAGAGGGTTTCTAGCCGAGAAATGAGGATAGAATTAGTTTTGGTCTCCAATTTTTAACGGATTAAAAACTAATAATCCATAATCCATAAATATATTAGGCTGTGAAAAATTACTATTTCGTCGTCTATTGTATTCAGCTGACCTGCACTCAGTTGAAGTTGAACGCCCAATGGGAAGCGAGGTGGCCAGGCGGGAAGAAGCTCTAATAAGAAATAAAATCAAACAGTCATATATAGTTCCCCTTATTTGAATTCGTTGTGAGTTGTTATTGCAGACTACGAACAGATTGTGAGGTTATTCTTGTATTAGAAACTAGAAGCGTTGCAAAGTTAAACTTGAGACCAATTGTCAGAGAGTCTTCATATCTTTTACTATCTGTGCAATCATTTCCTGATTGCAAACAATCTCATAGCAATTATTTCTTCCCATCTCTCTAATTTTGAACACTTTCTTCATGTTTATTTTGAACAGGAGTAACCTGGACTGAAGTTCGCACATATTTAACAAGTTACTTATTTAATCACTCATTCGAATATTCCCGTACTCTTATCTTAACCCAAGATTCAAAAGTTCAAGGACTAAATTGCAAGAATGTTTATATATATTTTAGGAAATTGGTTGAAGTAGTCACTATTCCACTATATTTTATGTTGCAAGTAAATTGTTGGTAATACATTCATGTGTTATGTTTTTTATGTTCATTACCTTTGCCGCTAATTATTTTCATTCCTATTCATCACGAGGAAATGAACGGCGATGCCACAATGATTGTGACCTCCACGAGGTTGGCCACCGGCTCCCGCCCTGGCATCGGACGGACGATGTTTGGTTGCTGCCTCATTGCCTGCCTCGGCGTGTACGCCTCATCGGCTACCAAGTGGAGCCTCATAGACATCAACACGACGCAATTCCTGATGGAGGACAACTCATATGAAGGAAAGGCACAGTCAGCTCTCGTCTGCGTCCTGCAGGCGGAACAAGTCCTGCGCTATGCAAGCCGCGGCCTCGCCTGCTACTCCGACGGCCGCTGCGTCGTCGCCAACGGATCCTACGACCACCTCCGAGGACCGCCTTCAGGCGACTGGGCCTGCTACTCATTCCGTGCGTTACATGAATATTCTCATTAAACAAGATTTTCTAGACACGCTATGGAGAAAACAATTGAATTTTCTTCGTGTAAATATTTCACATTATTAAAGGATGATGTTAATGCTACCGAATTTAGTAATTCTCACTTCGTAACCCACAGTTGCAGTCCTTTGCGCTAGTCCTCCAGGTGGCCTCGGCGACGCGCTCAGGGCGGCGGTGCCGTGCAACGTGTCGCTGAGGTGCACGCCTCAGGGCTGGGCTGACGGTGAGCTGTTTCTGAAAATGAGTTTATTGCTGGTCATTCATGGCTCATTTATCTATTGTTACATATTAAAATCATGGTAGATTTATTCCTCAGCGTGATAAACATTTTCGCGCTCAACTTTTAAATGCCTATAAATTCTAAACGCTCTCACGCAATCCACTAAGTACTGCACTTTCCCTCCCTTTCCACACATATCCTCCGCCAGGCAACTCGCCCAACAAAAGTGCGTCCCGTCCTCAAGGAGTGAAGTGCACCAGTGATGGTTGCTTCCTAGTAAATAGCCTAATGATGACGTGGTGCGCCGCGCACCAATATTGCCTTGGCGTTGGCGGGAAACTCTACACGCCCACCGACCCCCGGAAATACATGAACTTCACTGGCATCGTCTCTGGTCAGTGATCGCCATTCGCCATGCTGGGTTTTCAGTAGACCTGTTCACCGCTCGTATATAATTTTAAATCGTTTTCAAACTTGCAAATGAATTGGGAAAACATAAAATCAATTTCTGACCAATCTGTTACGGTGCATGAGTGAATGCCTGTGAGTATGACTAGGCATGTTTTTCTTTTTACATAGTTGTAAAATTTTATTAACTTTCTATGTCTCGTCTAACGTTTTATATTATTATCATCTATCTCATAATCCGTCAGTCACCTTGAACGATTATCATACTATATCTGTATGAACTTTACCTCGGACATAGTAAGTCTCTTAACTTGCTAAATCTAAACACTCGTACCAACATCTGGAATTTATCACATTCTCTCATACAGGAAAATTTTGGGTGGGTGCTGTTCGAATGCAAGACAATGCGTGGATGTGGTTCAACAACGGGCGGGTTATGGCGGCCGACTGGATGCCGGGACAGCCGAACGATCCATCTGCTCATTGTGGCTACATTGTTACGGACTATAAAGGACTCTCTGACAGCGATTGTGTCGCGCTGTACCGTGCTCTGTGCTACATGGGAGACAACTAAAAATTTTGTTTTATTGTCACTCCCTTTATTGGTTTGACATTTACTTCAAAATTCGGGCTTGAGAAATTATATAGTTTCTCTCGTCCAGGAGATGTTTTTCGTCTTAATGTTTTTTCTTTGCTTGACTTAGAAAGTCGCCTTAGCGTTCTTAAACGCCATCACGTGTTAAGATACTGAGGTTATTTTGAGTTACGTTTTGTGACCTATCATGATACCACTAGATACCAATGATAGATCTGATTAATGACTTCTTAGAGTTGTACAGTGAGGACCTGTTACCGATACACATCAGGTCCTCCCGTTTGACCAAACCCGTTGAAGTTTTGAACACAAATAGAATAATTTGCAATGAAACATTTGGATATATGCATAAAAACTCCTGAAGCAGCAGTGCAGTAGTAACAAATAACCTGAATTTTGATTTTTTCAAGCACTTTGTGGTTGTTTTTACTTCGGTTTCAAGCACTTCGCGGTTGTTTTTACTTCGTTTTACTTTACTTCTAGGATATCTTCTTGGATGGCATTCAATGAACGTCGATTGTAGGGATCTTAGCTGAATATTCGGAAGTACTTCGGGAAACAGAGGGAGAATAAGAACAATAGTAACCGATTTGTGGAACTTTGAATAAGTTAAGGTGTTGACGATCCCGTAGCAGCGTACGACTTCAGAGTAGACTTGTTGTGGGAGAAAAGCAAGAACTAGTTTGTGAAGTCAGACAACTGCAGAGGTATGTGTGATATTCTAGAGTTGTGGAGATATCCAACTGTCGACATTCATCAATATGTAAATATTATCTGTTTGTTGATAATATGCGATATATCTAGTAGGGAAATTAACGGACTGATTGTAAATTCGATTTTGTTCATGTAGGGAGAAGTCAACCCGGATAAAAGATCACAATTAAGAGGCTATCAAGAAGATTCAGTGTTGTGCATATATAATCTGTTACTGTGTTGTGACGAACATCTACTGTGCTGTGCCCTAGCATATGAAAGAAGATCGTTCTGTACCCTATAAAGATGCCCATATGTTCACATTAACTTTGTTCAATGTTCTTAATTTAAGTGTTCACTTTTCATTAATATTAAAACAATTGTGTTAACTCGAGATCATTATTTAACCTCGGCACGAAAGATCATTACATAGATCAACATTTATTTCGCTGGTAATTGGTTTATATAAGCATTCTGCATTATAACCCCGTGAGCAAAATAAGGCATTAGTTAACTTTCTGCTCCTCGTAAACACAAGCAAACTGTTGTTAATTTATTTAATTAGTTTTTTCACTGGTCATGGTTTAATTAGTAGATTGATGACAGCAGCCTTACTTTCAAGTTAATGTAAATGCAAGTATATCAATTTTTGTATTCATTCATTTTACCCGCTGAATATTAATACGCACGCCTGATAGCCGTAATATAAATTTCTTTAGACTTATAGAACCCACGCCCAACGATAGGCTGCGCATAACGAGACTCCTCAAGACACCATTAAGTTGATGGTATCAGACACGCTAGTTACGTGTTATAAATACGTTTTATACGTTTGTAAATACGTTTTATACGCTTATAAATACGTTTTATACGTTTGTAAATACGTTTATAAATACGTTTTATACGTTTGTAAATGCGTTTTATACGTTTGTAAATACGTTTTAGACTTTTATAAATACGTTTTATACGTTTATGAAAACGTTTTATACGTTTATAAATACGTTTTATAAGTTTGTAAATACGTTTTATAAGTTTGTAAATACGTTTTATACGTTCGTAAATACGTTTTATACGTTTATGAATACGTTTTATACGTTTATAAATACGTTTTATAGGTTATAAATACGTTTTATACGTTTATGAATACGTTTTATACGTTTATAAATACGTTTTATGCGTCCGTGCTTAAGAATAACAATTACCCTAACTGCGTGGTGCGTTCAACTGCTCTTGGGTGACACACAATCTACACTCACAGAAATTGAAAAAAACTTTGACCGATTAGGTATGCACTTTTGGCCCTTGTATGGATCATCCTGCCCCAGCTAGACAGCTCATTAAGTGCTGCGGCCGCTCGCAGCTTGTACTATGGGGAAGAAAGTGTTTCACTATTGTAGGACAATTTGACCCAATTATTTTTTCTGAGTGTTCGATGACGATATGGCGGGCAGAGTTTGTTTCTTTCACGGGTCATTTCTACTTGAGATCCACGTACTGTGAGAAACATAATTTTTGACCTCTACGAGGGACCCTTATATAGGAGTACAAAGATTGATACAGCTCCGGGACTACAAAGTATCTTATTAACGCTCAATTGGCCTCATAATATTGAACTAACAATGGTATAAGAGACCAAAAATTTTCCCAACAACGATAAAACGTGTTTAATTCATTTATATAATACGTTTTTCTATTTTTATTAGTTATTAGGTGCGGGAAAGCCTAATACGTGCGTCATAAATAGGTTTAGTGTCAATTAAGATTCTGGAGGTAAAACAAATTTTACTTTGTTGAACGTGTTGTTGTCTAATTCAACTGTAGATTAAACTATTAGAATTACGGCTGTAACAGCGTGGGTTGAAAATTAATAAGTAGATGAGGGAAGACATGACGATGCGCAGAAAATAAAGATGCAATGACGCATAATTTACACGTCGTTTCTTCCTTCAAAATAAAAAGAATTGCAACGTCTGAAGAACTTGGTTTTGTGGGGTTTTGGAGCAATCACTCAGAGACTTGAGTAACTTTGTCAAAATATTATTGGTGCAAAAGTTACCATTTTTATGGCTCATCCTGATCCAATTAATTTGGCCCAGAAAAAGGAGTATTAGTGCAAGGTGAATAATTTGTATCACTATTTGTACAATATAACCTATTAATTTGTCGAAGTGCTTCTTTGTAGAGCCCCTGAAGTGATCCATGCTTGATAGTTAGAATTTCCACCGCTCTCTGCAGCGCGCTCTTATGAGCTTTTTATTCTTGCATGTGAGCTCCGTGAACATTATTTTAACCTGATACCTGAAAGAAATAATTTTTTTTTCTTTCTGCAGTGAATAAGAATATAATTTAATCATTAATTCGTGGTACTTGAATCTTCATTTTTTGATCGTTGATAATCGTCGTTTTTGTCGTCATTCGCAACTTGAGAGAGAGTAGAGTTTTGGGAAAATCTATTGATTATACAAAGGCTTTTTTTATGTTTATGGTAGCGGACATTAATATAATTAGCTATTATTAGTTCCTTGTTTTAAAATTTTTCTGCTCAACTTAGGATTACCAAGCAGCATTTCGTGCCTGTCGTTCTTCTGAACGAGGTTAAATTATAATAAAGCGTCGTATTTATATAATTATCAATTATAGATTATCATTAATTTCTAGAATATTTCGCTACACTTATTATTTGCGTTGCAAAAGGGACTTTTATTTTGAGACTTTGGTTGTGAGACTTTTATTTTGGCATCTGTCTCTAAACATTCATTCGTTAATTTATCAATATTACTGAGAAATCCCCAACATTATATTTTCAGCGCTTGTACTCGAGTGTTTGGAAACGTTGCTCAGACGACTCGATGATCGTTGCTCAGATCACCCTGACAGATAAATTCTCGCATGAAGAGATGCATGAATCTGGTGATGGATTAACTCAGTATTTTGAGTATTACCCCTAAAGCGAGACTGTTATCCATTATATTCAATTGACTGTAAGAAATGCATCACAGCTGTAGCTGCGTTGTCTTATTGTATAGGTACACTGTCCAACACTGGAGCTCAGTGACCACCGTAGGTCAGGTTGATACATAACTGTTTAATCAAGCAAAACTCTTATTCCATCAAGTGTCCAATTTTTTCTTCTCCAATTTTCTTCTCCGATCGAAGCAACGTATTTCATACCGCGATTGCAACGAGTTAGCCATTTGTCTACAGATACAGTAACCGTCGTCAATGCTATGATCGTACCTCAAGTCCTGGGTAACGAAAGTTACTATCACTATACGCGAGGTTAAAGTTTTGCCTTAAGACCTTAGGACAAGTTTAGGACGTCGTCGTCCACGGTCACGCTAATGTGCCGGTTATGGAACCGTGATCCACGGTCACGCGGTTGCCTAAGCATACATGAATCGAGGTCAACTTGATTCTCATTTAAATGTCTGGTAACGAGGGCTACCGTCAGTTATATATCGTTTTATCACGATTATATCTTTGTCTACGTATATCTTAGTCAACTCTACTCCTACCTAACGGCTTGGTAACGGGTTGCTGTCAGTAGACGATGGTCCGGGGAGTTGTCCAACGAGCGCATTTGCATTGCGCGACGCAATCTATGCAGTTCTTATAGAATAGAATAGAAGGGTCGGCGTTGAAGAAATAGGCCCATGGCCTGTTGCCGATTCTTGAACTTTCCGTGACTTGATTCACAAGGGATCCGGCCTTTGGAACCCAATCTTTCTATAGCTGACGATTGATTGAGATAGCTGCTGGACTTATTGCCTGAGCTTCATAATCTTTAATCTTTCCTCATAGGACTTGCCTTTCAAGCCCGGAACTATCCTTGTTGCGCGTCTTTGAACACTCTCTACTAAATTTTTGTCCTTTTCAAATTTCGGTGACCACACGACGTTTCCAAACTCCAGGTTCGGGCGCACGACAGCAACAAACAACTTGACATGGACTTGACATTTGGATTTTGTTCATTCTTCCGCACCATGGTTAATAATAATATTTCAGGGAACCACATACCATTATAAAACGCCCGTGGCATGTACCTTTTATGCTGTGGATAATTCATTTGTGATAATGTACACCAAAGATGGTAAAATAGTGGTAGTTTGTTTTCATCAACCTAACGGACGGGCCAAAATGAACAGGCCACAATGCTTGATTTATTATTAACATGTTGAATTCTATTGCTTCATCTTGCACTATTATTTCATTTTTTGTACTAATTTGAAACAGGTTTGCCAGACGATCTTTTTTTTCGGACAAATTCCGCGATTTAGTTTTTTTTCAATTGCGTTGGCCCGCTAAAATTTATGATCGGGGTACTTCCTAGTTAAATTAAAAAAACTGCAAAAAGGAAAAAAGAATTGGAATTTTAACACCGGAACCTACAATATACTCGTATATATTGAGTTATAGGTATTTTTGGCCTTTTTTTGGTTTGCAGGCTTGGCCGTTTTTTAGGCATCTGGCAACCCTGAATTATGTCCTCTACGTCGTGGCGATATACATTTTTTGGTACGCATTTGGACCAATTCGGAGTCAACGTGTTGAAATTTGAACTTACCTTCTATTAGTACCATTGTTCATGCAGATTGTACCATAAAGATAAAAAATTGGTTATGTTTTAACAAATTATTGCTCGTAATGGCATATTGGACGTAGAAGAAGCGCCCCGAATTCATATAAATCTTCCATCCATCACTTCAGAGGTTTATGATGCCCTTCCAGTGAAGCACGATGCATAAATCGCCACGTTATTTACAGCCGTTGTGGAGCACTTATATTAAACGAGATTTTGTCGGACATATCAAATGTTGTCGGAGATTATATATCAGCGTACCCGGCGTTTTGGCCAAGCATTGAGAATATTTCCGTGAATGTCGAATTAACTACATTTCAGGTAATAATTATTGTGCCGCAAAAGGCTGCCAATTTGGAGTGTTTGGGCGTTATTGTATTGAAATAACCGAAGCATCGTCCAGAAGCAACTTACACACTGAAGCAGAAGCGATTT